TATAAAAAAAAAGGCATATCCCCATGAAAGCATATACATGTATAGTTAGATACCCTTTATTTCTAGCTGTGTATACTTACGAAGGATATCTGGAGCCTGGATTAGACTGAGAAAGTCATCCTCCGTCTCTTGCTGAGCATATTTGAGAAGTGAGCGCTTATGTGCGGCTGTCAGAACCTCCTGAAGAACATCAATGTTTCGAAGCTTTTTGCACAGACCACAGACTCTTAGGGCTTCTTCGTGGTAAACGATGGCTTTGTGTAAATGTGCTTTCCCTGAAAAAAATTAGAAACCGTTGGTTGTCCTCCACAGACAATAAATACAAGGTAATTTTCAAATGGTATCAAGTAGCTGTGTGAAACTGGCAGTTACCTAATTGTTTTCTCTGAACTTTGTCCTTTAAAACGGTGAGAACCATCAGTCCTTCAGGCATGTAGTCATACAACTGGGACAAGGCTTTCTCCTGCTGATCTTCATCATCACTGGACTGCACTATAATAATTGATATAGAACATTAACCATTACACATCTCTTGGTGCCCTGTTCCTTTAGGTGTATTGTTGGGTTGTTATTACTGCCTACTCTCCAAATGCAGTCAAATATTTTTTACACAGATATACTGATGGGAATTTCAAGTTTTTAGGACTTTTATCAGTTTTATCATCTGCAGTAAGCAAGTAATACTTGTAATACAAGTAATACAGTATGCCAGAACATACTGACAAGAACTGAACAATTTAGTAGAATGTAATGGATATAATATTTCTTTTGTTTCTGCAAAAATTAGTTTATTGAACTTTAACATTCTTCTGTAAAGGACAAAAAAGCATGGCCTCTTATCTGAATGGGAAAATGGCCACAGATTAACATATGTCGAAACCCTGGCTCCTAGTCTTATTCATAGACCAAATTATAACCGTTTATGTGTTTATTATTGTTATTTATATGAATATATAGAAAATGTATGATTCTTACATTCATGGTCACATAGAATGGTGGCAATGAAGTAATGCGCCAGAGCTTTGTAATGGTCTGACTTTATTTGTGCCAGTTTAGACCAGGAATAGGGGATATTCTCTTTCACTGGTTCCTGATTCATTGCAGTGTTAACCAGCATGTAAACCTCTCCCACCTAAAATAAAGCACAGAACTGAAGTATGAGAATTTAACATTAGTTATTAGGAGCTCAAGTAAGGGATATAATATTCAGCCTTAAGATAATTTCATATGCATCACA